GCTCTTCAAAAGTAGATACAGCTAGCCTGGGGATTATGGGATCATGTGATTGAGGTTGTGTGACTGCCAGACTTCATGAAAGTTCCTCCTTATATTTCACTCTTATTGAGCATCTTAGGCACAGAAAGAACTTAGCCCTCTGGCATATAAAGCCAGGTATGAGAGACCTGCAGAGAGCTGACAGGAACACCAGCTGAGAAGAGCTGATGCCTAGAAGTGATCCTAGTAGGAGAAAAAGGCACTCAGCGAGGAAGAGCTGAGCACAGGTGTACCCTGGGAAAGGGATTTTGCATTTTAGGAAAAACCAAAGAGAAGATGTTGAGGGAGAAGACCTTGGGAAACAGTTGTAAGACAGTCCTGCATGACAGCATCCCAGGGTTCCCCCACCCATCTCTGGTGATGCTGCTGTGAAAAGAAGTGGCATGGACTTCCTTCCTTTGCAACAAGAGGTTTATGGGGAGAACTGAGTCTAGTGAAGGGTTATGGCTGGCGCTGCTGAGTCCTAAAGGAAATGGACTCTGAAAAGGGTAACAGGTAATCCTGGACTTGCCTATCCACCAGGAGGAGATAGTGGATTGACTGGAAGTGAGAAACTGAGGTGCAGACATGTGACCAATGCCAATGATGTACTGTCATAAAGTTGCTATAATGCTTTTAAACATGGGTTTTTCAAATTTACCACTTAAAGATAGCTTCAATTCTTTAAAAATGAAATTCTGCACATCATTGGTGATGGATATTATCTTTTCACTTTTTTGTGAAGAGTGTTAGGTAGGGTATAAATAACCATGCCATTTGTGGCTACTGCAAATGCAAGGAGTTCCAAAGTGCTGAGTAGGTGCTCAATCTGTTTTGAAGTCATAGATGTGAGATGCTAAGCATCTCCCTAGATTTGGCTATTTTAGTACTAAACTCCCACTTCTTCAAAATAAGGATACATAAGCAGCAGGGGGAGGGGGGGACAATAGGGCTACAAGGGTAGCTTAACTCTAATATATTAATATATTTAATTGCTCCTGTGTCTGTGTGTGAATATGGCTGTAGAGAACATTAGAAAAATCATTTTTGGTGTAGCTCCACTCACCTAAATGGATTTGCAGTACAGATGAATCTTGTCCATGGTGATCTGCCCACATTTATACCTAATGAAGTCAGTGGGACTCTGTAGGAAAGGGTGTGCTACAGAATAACTAGCAGGATCAGTGCCTCAGTTAGCTGAAAGTTGTATAAAATCACATGGTTGTGATCAGCTTTCTACTGACATCTCAGGACTGGGCTCAAAAGCATAACATATTCCAGCTAAGGTCCACATTCGTTTAAACTCCTTCATTTACACACTCACTTGGCTTTAGAAGTCCTCACTTTGCTACAGAACAGTAATGCTGGCTCTCCCGTACTTCTATTTATTTATTTATAAATATACACACATACACTTTTATGCCTTCTTCAAATTTCTATCTTGCATTTTATCTCCCATAGTTTTTGCTCCATTCTGCTGGCTTCATTTGGACTGCATCTTCAATTTCTGAAGGATACCTGTATGACTTGAATAACATCTTGAACCTTACTACTTCATCCGTGCCATTTGCTCACTAGGGAAGGGATCCAAGGGTGGGGTTGTTTTGTTTTTTCACTTTGCTTTCCCACTCAGTTACATTATGTCACAGTAGTCTTCTGGATGCGGAGTGTAAGGATTTAGACTAACTCTTTAGACTAACCTCCTCGCTTTTGTGAAATCACCTTTTCTGAAGGCTAGTTTGTCAGGGTTAGTTTTTGGTGCAACTCCTTCCTTGAAGTGAAGATATTGCTTAATGGTTCAAGGAATGACTATGGTTGAGCTGCTGTTGAGAATAGCATCTCCTATGTGTGCTGTAGAACTAGCTGGTCTGAAAAGCAATTGTTGAGGGGGCTGAGAAACTATTTTCTAAAGCTTCTTCAACTGTAAGATTGGATCAGTTTATATGCTGGTACCCTAGCTGAAGTCACTTAGTATTGTATTAGACTTAATTGCTGCTATGATCTCCCTCCATAGTGTGCACTTAAGTTCCTTAGCTGATAAAGAGACTGGTACACTAATCAAACTAGTATTGGTCTGCCTGAGTTGCTGTGGCCCTCCGTGGGGTCTGCTTTGGGCTCATGATTCGTGCTTACGTCTGCAGCAGGTGATGTGAACTTGAGAACATTGACAGGAAGGGGGAATGACTCCAGACTTTTTTAATATCCTATGACATCTCCAGAAATATATGTACTACTTGCTTAGACAAGTATTTATTATTTGCATTACCTTAGTAGGTATGAGCCCTAGTAATGGACCAGAATCCTGTTGTGCTGGTGCTGTACAAACAGAAAAAGATGGTTCCTGCCTCAAGGAGCTTACAATCCAAGTATAAAACAGGAGACCACAGATGGAATACAAAGATACAGTGAGACAAAATATTGGTCAGCATGATAGTGTATATGGTATAAGACTTCCACTTACTTCAAAGGAAATAGGATGAAGCTCTTAATCAGACCACACAGGCATTTGACATTCAAGGGCCTATCCAGGACTACTGCTACTCCAGGCTACGGAAGTGGCAATGTACACTTCAAAGCTTTAAGAATGTGATTGGACAAGTCTCATGGAAAGACCTCTATCACCACAGGGAAGACTTTAGATTGTAAAGTCATGAGGGCAGGGGCTGTGCGACCTCCAAACCAGTGAGGAGGAAGAGCTCTGGCTTAGCCTCCTATAATGCTGAATCTATCCAAACTAAGCAGATAAACCCTGTGGGAAGAGAAGAGATGAGCAGGCTATGATGGGATGCGAAGCTCCTTCCTTCATTGTAGGCGCAATGGGGAAAGTACTTGTTTACAACCACCGACTTTGCTCTTCAGAGTATGGACATGGGCTTATGGGTAACAGCTCCATTTGCAATGGAGGCCGTGCTTCTGAGAAGGCGACAACCTGTGTCGCCCTCTGCAGGTTGCTCAGTATACTGACCTCAATGTCTAATAGGAGTTAAAAAAACAACAAGGAGTCTGGTGGCACCTTAAAGACTAACAGATTTATTTGGGCATAAGCTTTCGTGAGTAAAAACCTCACTTCTTCGGATGCATAGAGTGAAATAATAGGAGTTAACTCTTAATAGGAGTTAAGAGCGGAGAAGAGCTCGGGAAGCGTTAAGCGATTCCAGTTGGGGAAAATGTTGCCACTTTGATAAGTGAGGCAGGCAGCCTCCTTTTTCTCCCCCCACCCCGCCCATGCCATTCAATTGCAGTAACAAGCTGAGACTGGGGGTGGGGAGAGAGAGAGAGCGCGTTTTGCGTATACGTCCTTATGTCCCAAGAAAAACTAGCCAGGTGCGTGCCTGGGTGCTACCCAGACGTGGAGGTAGCTGGGGGGGGGGCACTTATGCTTCCTGCCCTGCAAACTCTGCTTCAGGTGACGCTGCTGTTCTCTTCCTCCTCATTGAGATGGCACTGAACTAAAGATGCTTGTCTGAGGCATTGTTCCGCCGTCTGCATTGCACCGACGGTCGGGCTCGCAAAGACCTACAATTGCCCGAAATACTGTACTGCTCTGCAAGACAGAAGACGTTCAAATAAGTTTGCTGCCCTCGGTGATCTCAATAGAGAAGACGTCAGTGTTCGCGCGGTTGTCACGAATTGCTTGATCACGTATTAATCTGTGCCACTGACCAAATCAGCCTCTCGCCTTATTGAATGGCTGAGATCGTATGGCTAAAGGGCAGGTTAAAATGTGGAGGTCGATAAGGACGGTCAGGCAGTAAAGAACTTTGCACGTGGGGTGCGTTTATCCTGGTAAACAGCGAAAGCTAATCGCTCCTGTTTAAAGAGGGTGTATGGGGGGAACTCCACAGCGCCCCACTTTGGTGTTGCTGGAGACTGCTACAGCACTTAGGAATGTGCCTGGGGCGTGTATAAGAGCGGTATGTGTTTATATATGGAGTTAGGTTAGGTTCATGTCTCTCTTGTCCTCGGGCCAGCAACGCAGGGCGCGCTCTCCAGGTACCTGGCAGAGCCGGGAACATGCCCTATGCAGCTGGGCCTAGTGGGGGGTGTCTTTACTATATCGACCGTCCGGCCACTGCGCAGGGCGGATCTGTGTGCAGGGAGTGGAGGGCGTGCTTTTGGCCTGAGGCCAGTGGCTTTGGAAGTCCCGCTCGCTAAGACCGCGCCCCGCTTTCGGTTCCCTCGGGGCGGTGGGGCGCAGGGTGACACACGGCGCCGCGGCACCTGGGCGCACACCTGCTCCCTCGGTGTCCTGCTCCTGCCGAGCTGTCCCTGGCGCGCTCAGACGGCGCACGCCAGGCACCCTCTGCCACGCCCACGTGCTTAAAGCTGTTTGCCTGGCACTGGCTCCCCCGGCTAGCCAAGGGTAGCCACGTGTCGGCCTCGCCCTCCTGCAGCTGGGCGCGCACCTCGCCCCGGGCTAGGCGAGCCGCGGGTGGGTGTAACTCCCCTCCGCCCCTAATGCACTGGAGGCCTCGCTCGCTCTCACTGGCACGCCCCCCCTTTCCCCCAGCAGTGACACCTCGCAGCCCCCCCGCGTGAGGGAGGGGAGGAGTATTGCTGGCTAGGTCACATCCCCGGAGTCTCCGCTGCAACTTTTTCTCCCCCGGAGCGGGCCAAGCCCCTCCTGCCATTGGCTCCCAGCACGCGACAGACCCGCGCGCTCCATTGGCTGAGCCGCCACGCGACCGGCGCGAGGAGGGCGGGAGGCAGAGGGTGGGGCGCGAGGAGGCGGGAGGCGGGTGGGGGGGGGGACCCCGGCGCGTGCCGCTTTTTAAAGGGGGCGCAGCGCCGTCCGCAACCGGAGAAGGCTGGTTGCACGCGAGCTGTGTGTGCGCCCGAGGTCCCCGGAGCCAGGGTAGAGGTGGGGGGGGGGGCGCGTGGGAGAGGCGGGGGGCGCGTGCAGCAGAACTCGCCAGGGCTGTTCTGCCCCCTCTCGCGCTTCCCTGCTTCCCACCCCGCTTTGGTCTGCAGCGCCCGGCGCGATGAGCCACCTGCGGGCGGCCGCCGCCGAGTGGGTGGAAGGCGGCAGGGACTTGGGGGCCCAGCAGCAGCTGGAGCAGACTCTCCTCGGGCAGGAGCATCCCGGTTGCGGTTTCCCCCCCGCTTGGCTGGGCATGTGCTGCCCGGCACGCGTCCCCGCAGCCGCCGCCGCCTCCCCCAGATACCTGCTGCCCGGAGCAGCGGAGGAGGAGGAGGAGGAGCCGCTGGAGGCGGGGGGAGCCGAGCAGCACCTGGGCGGCTGCAGGAGCGGCCCCTCGGGGAAACTGTGCAAGCTGCCAGGGGGCGTCCCGTCGGCGGAGGGGGTGTCGGGCTGCGGCAGGCAGCGCGCCCCGTCCGGGGGGCTCCGGCAGCAGGTGAGCGGCGTGCAGAAGCAGCGACGGCTGGCGGCCAACGCCCGGGAGCGGCGGCGGATGCACGGGCTGAACCACGCCTTCGACCAGCTGCGCAATGTCATCCCCTCCTTCAACAACGACAAGAAGCTGTCCAAGTACGAGACCCTGCAGATGGCGCAGATCTACATTAGCGCGCTGGCCGAGCTGCTGCACAGCCCGGCCGCGCCCGCCGACACCCCAGGCAAGGGCGAGCACCGCGCGCCGCCCCACGAGGCAACCGGAGCAGAGGCCGGAGCTGCAGGGCAAGGACAGGGGCAGCAGCAGAGACCCTCGCCCTCCGGTCACTGCAGGACTCGCTTCCCCCAGCAGCCGGCTGCGGGGGGCTACTCCGTGCCCCTGGACCCTCTGCACTTCTCTTTCCAGGAGAGCGCCCTGATGGCACAGAAAGCCCCCTCCCCGGCCCTCCTCGGGCAGCCGCAGGAGAGGAGCAAACCATCGCCCAGGTCCCACAGGAGCGATGGAGAGTTCTCGCCCCGCTCCCACTACAGTGACTCTGATGAGGCCAGCTAGGGAGGGAGCCCAGCAGCACCACCGGGGCGACAGGGGCAGAGCCACAACCAGAGCTGTCCCAGTCTGCCACGGGCCGGGGGGGGGGGCGAAAAAGGGGCGCTATGACTGCTGAAAATTTTGCCATGTATCTGCTTCCGCTGTTAAAATAGACCACAAAAGGCTGTTGAAAATAGCATCGATTCCTTTAGCTTATGAATCTCCAGCCTTCTCCTTGGTTGGTATATGGAAATGGCTATTTTGTGATTCAGTGTCCCCTTTATCCACCCCATCCCATTTCCCTTTCTTTGCATACGGATTGTTATAATTTCTCTCTCCCCGCCCCCCCTTTTCCCCAACCAACGTGCTGCCTTGTAGTTCGGAGCTTCACTTGCATTGCTCGCGAATAGCAAATCCACTGTGAACACTTAACTTGCTAAAATTGAATTACCGTTTGTGTCTGCACAGATACTTACACAAAAGTCTTCCGAAATGCCGGTCCGGTTTCCGAATTTTATTGTTATGGAAACAAACAAAAAATTGTAAATAGCATACTCCTGTGCTGTAAATACCAGAGAAAAGGCGGATTTTTAAATGTCCCGTGTTGATGTTGGCATCTTTTGGGGAAACTTGGCGCAAGCACTTTATCAGCGGCTGGAGATGCGGCTTCAAGAGGAAAGTAACTAATTGCCAATTGGAGACCATTATTTAATTTAGCCACTTATAGTCCTTAAGCTCTTTAAGTGTCAAAGTTTTATGTGAATTTTATTTTGCTTTTGTGATATTAGGAAACTTATTTATTAAGGAGTGTTTGCTACTATTTCTGCTTTTATTTTTTTTAACTTTTCTACACGAATGTTTTGTTTTTTTAATTTAGCAACGCCAACTGCCATTGTTTTCTATAATTTTTGAGATCAAATAAATATGGGGGGAAGATTGGTTGGACTATTATTTTTCAAAAGCCATAATAAAAAATATACAGAACACTTGTATTTCAAAATGAGTACTGATTTCTTTAAAAGGGCTCTTTCTGAATACTCTGACATACATCGCCATGAGATGGCTGTGGGGGGGGGGGTGCATTTGATCGCGTGGATCTGTAGGATATCAGAATTTACATCACCTGTGGTTTCAATTCTCTAATTTGCACCTGTGCGTGGAAAACAAATAAAAAAACCCTCTGCTATTTAGACCTACTTCAAAACTATGAATTGTATAATGAACGGCATTAATCACTTAGGACTGCAACAATACTCTCTTTATCAATACTTCTTTTAATCTGTTCCTGATTCTAACAGGTAACACTCTTCCCTTTTGGGGTTAGGAAAGAGAGGACTTGTCCCGGCACTAAAATTCCCATTGCAACAGGTGAGCGTTGCCTGAGTTCGGATTGCAGGATGGGACCCCTATCGGCGTTCTGCTCTCTGAGGGACTCGTCCTGCTCCCCTTCACGTTAATTGTTCAAATTCCGTTCTCCATTACACCGGTGTAACTAAAACCAACAACATTGGCACAACCGCAAAACTCCCGTTGACTTCAATGGGAACGGGAGTGAGCGCATTGTCTCGGAGCAGTTGCCCTGATGAGCCGTGGCATGAGCATAGCTGGTTCTGGTGTAACCATGCTCATCGCATGAGAAGAGGGAACTACTGTACAACCCCCCCGTGGGCTAGAGGGAGCCTTAAACTGAAGTTGGTTAGGAGTTCTGGAAGCCGCGTACACTAATTGGAAAGCTGAACAGACTTGCAATAATGATTTGAAAGGGCGGGTCACGAGCGCTGCACGGGTAGTTTGCCCTTCCTTCTCCTAGCTCTGGGTATGAAGTGACTTGCCCCGGTGGTCCTTACTGAGGCAAAAGTAGTTCAAGAAGAGCGGCTTGCAGTTCTCGAGCAAGTTTCGGAACAAGTTCTAAAGGAAAAGATATAATCGCTTGGGGCCATAAAAGTCGAGAGTATTCATCTGTCAAAAAGCTAAAACCTATTGGTGTATCGTATTTTTAATGAGGACTATTTCTAATATCGTATTTCCAATGAGGATTTTAACGTGCGTGAAAATCTGTATGTCCTGAAAGCCATAAAGAGGGTCCAGCTACTGTTGAAATGTGGACCTGTAGTCCAAAGGTATTTACTTACCGCAAATAAAACAGGCGGGCTGCGGCTCATGTCTATTGGCGAGCTACCCTGTAGGTCTGAAACGAAAATTTTCCTTGGGTGCCATATCTTAACATGGCTGCGCCTCTCAATAATGTGGTGTCTCCCTGTAACGCGGACCAACATTTACTATGGATGCAACTCTCCAAAGTGCTCAATTTAAAAATCAAGTTTGAGGTTTGGAAATCAAGTCAGCGCCTTGTTCTGTGTTTAAGGTTTTGAGGCGTGCTCCACTGAAGTGCAAATCTCTCGCCTCTTTCAATGATGCAGGGACTGGGCCATTACTTTGTCTTGTAGGGTCGGATTCTTGAGACACCGGCCCAAATCCTTCCCCAAGTAAGTAATGCCTTAACTTCACGCTTACACTCCATTAACAAGCTGTAACATATTACTGCAGGTTGCTATAATCTCATTAATTTTTTGGAAACTTGAATATTGAGTATTCGCCCGAGGAAAGGAGAGCAGGATTTGACCCAGTGTCCTTAATCAATTTCTTTAAAAAATAAATAAATAAAAACCCTAGTGTGGAAATCCACCGAGGATTTCTCCTGCAGTTCTCACAAAGGCAAGACTTCCAATGAACACAAGCACCAGACACTGAACTCAACAGGAGTTTTGCATGAGTAAAGAGTACCGAATCCATCAACCGGAGACGGTTTCTTTCTGCACGGGCTTCTTCCTTCTCCATTGCGTTATTTTCGTGCTTTCAGCAGGTGAAACCTCACCTAGGTCTAACTGACAATCAAACTGCTCCGGTAGGTGTGCCGATAGCAAGCAGGCAGTCTGCAAAAAGCAGGTGATCGTGACGCTTTCCAGGAAAGAGATCATGCACCTGTCCCCTTGATAACCTTTTGCACTGCCGGGTTTGCTGTGCTGCAGATAAACATCTTCGGGTGGCTTAAACGAATCAAGTCACTGCTTCCACACTAACGCTCTAACTGCTGGGGATATATTTACCAACCTGGGTAGGGTGAAAAGTTCATCAGCAGGGTCATTTCACTTTCAAAACTTCACGATTGTTTCCGGGTTTATATTTTTGATTACTACTTATTTCTAAAATGTTGAGGTTTTCATAGTAGTTAATAGGCAGCAAGCCTTTGACTTTCAGCCCAGAAAACTCTTTTAAAATTATCGTGCTGTACATAGATCTGCCATAGAAATATCTCACTCGGTGCTTTAAACAAGATTAATTTTTTTTAAAAGTTCACATATGTAGTGAATGATGCAACACGGGGGATTAGCGTTGTGATATATTATCAATTTAATTGAACTGGCCCAGCTATGTCTTTGTCATGCGTATATATTTGTGTGTGTGCGTGAGGGAAAAGATGTGGGAAACTATTTTCATTTTTTTCAGAAGGTTTTTCTCATTTCATCCAAACAAAAAAATCTGACACAGGCTATTTGTGAGTGCAAAGTGATTTGAAAAGCATATATAAAATCATCCACGCTAGTAGGAAATGTTCTAGCTATTGACCAATCAACTGTACCATGCAGTGTGTTAATCTTCACATCTATAGTTGGGGATTCAGTTTTTTTTATAGACACTTCTTTGAAAGAGAGACATAGACACATTTCCATTTTAAGGTTCTGCTATAGAGTTTGCATAACAAACGTTTGGCAGCCCACACTCTTACACTCCATTAACAAGCTGTAACATATAGCTGCAGGTTGCTATAATCTCATTAATATTTTGGAAACTTGAATATTGAGTGTTCAGCCTGCTCATTCCCCATATGCCAGACCACTCCCGCTATGCTGGCTGGTTCCTTTCTCTCCATTATTAGCAATTAGCTTCTACCTTCCAAAGTCACATCCAAGTATCCAAGATACTAGCAAAGGAATCAACTATGTGTTGCAAGCTAAGCATGCTTAATATCTCCCAAACAAACAAAGAGACAACATTGCTTTAAGTAATGAAGATGGATAAATCGCTTTATTGAATTTACGACAGTGTTTGTTCTGTATGCACTAGTATTAACTTAAAATAACACACACACACACAACCCCTCTTGAAGCTGATCAGGGTGGGCTGTTTGTGTGCTCATAGTATTTTTAAGTTACGCTTCTGACTCTCCAGTTCAGATAAAGTATTAGTCGGGCGTCGAAATTTGGCTGAACTCTAAGTATCTCCCAGAATGTGAAATACAATGTGTTTAGGGGGTGGGGGCGTGGACGCTTTGTGGGAGATTCCACTGGCTTATGCATGTGCGGATCGTTTGTATTTGGCCAAAAAGTTTTGGTTTAGCTTCCCTTTTAGACCTACACAGGCTCGCTGGCCACCAGTCAGATCGTGGGAATTTCCAAGAGGCAGCCTGCTCTAGTGAGTTTCATGTTGGTTTGCTACCCGGTCTAAAGTTACAGTATATTTTAAGTGTATTTTTGGGGATCGATTTTGTAGCTTTTGTTCTTGACCGCAATGGAGGCGGGATCGAGTCCCTTGTCCTGTTTCTTGCACGTTCTCGTTAAAAGTTTACAGCACGAGGTTGAATTCTTCCCTATTATGCAACCTTAGAAAGCAGAAGAATCCTGGGGGGTTTGTTAGTTTTTAAACACAACTCCTGCACCCCCAGAGCACACGTGCGAGAGAAAGTAGAGTTTGCAGTGCGGTGTCCCAGCCCCGGTTTATTGCTGCCTTGCAAGTGGCTGGCTGCTGTTTGCCCAACCTCTGGCCTGGAGAGGAAGAAAGAGTTAAACCTGGGGAGGGGAGAGGAGATAAAAGAGAGGCAGAGGAACTAAAGAGAGTGTGGGGGTGGCTTGCGGTAATGTGAGTGTTTCTTAATTAGAGCGAGGCTGACAATAGAGGGGCTAGCTGGCAGAGGCTCCTGGCCTCAGTGCTGAGTGTCTGGAGCGGAGCACGCGTTGTCAGCTGGT